TCATACGAGCACCTGGTAAATGGAGCTAAACGCTCAGAGTCGTGACATGCAGAACGCTTCATCTTTCGCGTCATTTATTCGAGTTCGAGGATAACGTCAAACTTAAAACGACGCTTTTGCTCAATTTATGATCTCTTACAACAGATACTTAGATGTAAACTTAGGACAAATCAGTGGGTCTCAGACAGTCTCACTCTCCAGTCCCGCTCCTCGATAAAAGTTCTTCCGGTTAAAATTTCAACCTAGACCCCTCGTTAAGTTATATAGGAGCAATCCTTATAAGAATCCTCATAATTTTTCAAAATCTCCCGCGAGCACCCGCGTCCATTTTATATGGAAGCCCACCCGAGGGGGAATCATGTTCTCCTCCAGTCTCACAGACCTTAAAACAGCTCGGTATGATTGGGATTATACTTTTCTTTCTTTTTATACATAATGAGCTCAATTTCAGTACGTACCCCGCTAGGGGTAGTCATAAAATTTTTGTTAAAACGTTTAAAAAACACTGTAACAAAATATATGATGTGACAAAAAAGCACGACGGTCTTACTTTATTTCTGTGTGTGTTTAGGCTGGACAACCGATCGGAAGTTATCCTTTTTTAGCACTTTCCTCTCGCAGTGTCCCTCTCCTTTTGTAAGTACAAGATAATAACGCCGCATTTTGACTTGTGGCGATAACAAAAATAGAGTTAACTTCAAGAGTCCCACAAAATGATTTTACTGCAGTTGGCTAAAAGTTACATTTTCGCCTTATGTCACAAGTTAACGAAGTTTAACAGTTCTATTGATCTCATCCAATCGCGGCAAAACTATATCAAATGACATCACACTCAAGAGGTTACTATTCAAGTAAACCTGCATTATCTTTCCCAGATATATTCCTATTACAGTCCAATGGAAGTCATGCCATGCATATGGATAAGATGTTGATTCCTTCTGTCAGCACCGGAAACGTCATCCTGGCGGACTACTATCACCATGAACGAAGAGTTTTTGAGGAAATGGACCGTCGTTTGAACCAGAATATTAAAACAGAACATTATGACAGAAAAACGATTAACGGCCTCCACCTCTTAAGTCCACCTATACCAGAGGAGGCAACATTAGCACTCTCATTAACATGTTTGGAACACGGCAAATTTGGATCGATATAGACTCCTAAGAATGTATTAAGTGAACA